GAGTTTATTATTATTATTATATTATTGTGATTCAACTGATGTCATTTCTTTTATTTAAATTGCTCAACCCACATGACCAAAGTCTTTTTATATAATGTCGAATATGAAAAGTTTTTTGTGTATTATTATTATTATTAAAATTATTTTGTAATAATGTAGCTGGTACTACTTATAGAGACACCAACGAGGGGCTGGCCCTGTACATATATATACATATATATATATATATATACTGTACTCTTCCTCTGACACAACTGGAACGCCGTGTTTGACACAAGTGCCTTTCTATGACTGTGCTACTGTAAAACTCTCATAGCCACAAAACTGTTATGTTCTTGTTGAGGGGGAGGGAAGGGGTGAGAATGCACATACAGATGCCCAACAAGTGCAGACAATGTTTTTATTTAAAACTGCCTCAAATGTCTGGACAGTCATGATTCTCTTTTTATTTGATTCTGTTTTTTTTTCCTTCCCTGGTGTGAAACTCTTGGTTCCAGCCCCTCTGTACACTATCAGGGCTTGATGTCCTGTGCATTATTTTTTACTTAAATTTATAAGGACATGTAAATGGATTTTATACTGTAAAATGTGTATTTATTGTAAATATTAAACAGAAATGAAATCAAACACTGCGCCTCGGAGCTCTCCATTTTTTTTTTTTTCAGACCTGCAGAGCATCACGTGTCGCTCACGCTAAGTATGTTATACACGCCACCCATTGTATACGCCATTCTAATTCTAAAATATGGCCGCTCCGTGTTGACTATGATGTTATGCAGCTGCAATACAGCGAGGGGCAGTCACTTGTGGGCTTAGACTATAAATACAAACACTCCATCTCCATAATTACAGAGTGAGCCAGGAGCCGTCTGGACAGAGGGGAAGAGCAAACCCTCATCAGGGAGCCCTTAGACTCCCTTTCTGGTGGGTAGAAATTATAGAAGCACATCAAAAGGCCTTAATACTACAATTACATAGTCACCATGCACTACAATTTCAAAGTAACAAAGTCATTGCAAAATAAGTCTGCATGGTGTCAGTATTTGTTTCACCCACATCAAAGGCTTAATCAAGTGAATGCTTCCATACCATAGACCAGATGATCAGTATTTCTATCAGCATCATCATAAGTCAGAGTACTTGAAACTTTTACACACAATATATATTTAAAAAAAAGAAAAAGAAAGAAGGAAAGTAAACAATTACCTGCAGCGGTCTTCTTCCTGGTGTCAATATTCACAGAGAAGTCACCTGAAAAAAAAAAAGAAATTGAAAACATGAAAGTCTTTGTATCTCAACAAATCTTAAACCGATTCTTCTTCCTCATTTTTAAATCAACAGCGACCACAGTCCAGCAGTGTTAAAATGTATTTTATTTCATTAAAAGCTGATTACAGTTCTGACAACTCCAGACCTGTACTCATTTGTTACATATAATCACATACATAGTGTGCAATAACATGTTACAATAGTGATATGCAGATAAATAAGATTGAGTGTCTCTAACCAGCCACATAATAGTACAGTGTTACCGTAATGTACCAAATAAACCTGATTAGTGTTTCTGTTTTGCGGGGTAACTGACTTCTAGGCCAGACGTCGTCCAACTGGATCATCAGACACCGACAAACAAAATAAAATAAATCTTCATGTAACAGTGATGGGAGAAAAAAACACACACACATACACACACACAAAAAAACAACAACAAACAAACGCTGAAGCAGACGTCACTGTGCATGTGAGTAAGAAGTCGCCGGAGAGCTGAAAAAGAGAACGGCCAAATGTAACAGCACCAGTATAAACAGTTTATACTTTTCTCCATTTGATATTAAAGGGTTAGAGTTGGACAGGAGGTGCAATTTGTTCTGCAGGCGTCACCGCAAGGCAACCAATGAGAGACGACGACAGATGTACACAAACGTTGTTGCTGCTGCTGCTGAACTCTACGTAGAGTCAACGCTGTTAAATAAAAGAAGGTCAGTGATTATTGCGCGTCCTCAAGTCCTGGCAGAAAACAAAAAGCAGGAAATAATTTAATGTTCAACAAAGTCATGTTAGTACAAAAAAACACATTTCCTGCACGTCTTTCTCTAAAACCCATTGATTGAATTCCCACACTTCTTCTGTCTCGGTTCATTAAGGCCATAAATAGGTGTGATAAAATCACAACTGTAAGGGAACACTTGTAACCTTTGTAATAAAATAAAACAAAGTCCTGCCGTTCCTATGCAGAATATGTGCAACGCATGAAGAAGTCTCCAGAAAGTGAAAGAAAAAAACTTTAACCTCGTGCTTACAGTCAGCTTGAATAGTTTTGACTTTGTGGATTTTGTGTAACTCGTGTCCGTTGTTCACCAAAGAACCGTTGCTCTAAACACAAATAAAAACGGTAAAATATTCTATTCTAAGTATTTGCAGGGTTTTGGTTAAGGCTGAGCATTTAACCAGAACATGATATGAAGTTGGATTTAGGTCCTAGTCCAGATCCCTTCTGGTTTGTGTTGCGTTAAATGGCTATGTGGCTGCAGGACGAAGCCAAGCTCGAGTCGACTGGTTCTGTATTGTCCCTGATTATAGTTACCATGTAGTTTGGGATCATTGAACCTTGACTGGTGGCTAAAAGTGGAGTCATTTACATGAGTCCAGTCATGGTCAAAGGAACACTGGTGTCTTATACAAATTGGTAGCAGGAGCCGGTAGTTGTGTCAGCGCCGCTAGTGTAGTGAGCCTGCAGACAGAGGGCAAATAAGAGGAGGAATGAAAAGCTGTGGTGGGACAAGTCTGGTCAGACGCTGGGCATGTCGGCTCTACTGAGAGCGATGGCGAGCTCCAGATCCTGCTGCTCCTGGAGCCGCAGCCTCCTCAACCTCTCTTGCTCCTCACGCTCGCTCTCCCGCTTGGCCCACTCCAGCTGCTGGCTCTCATTTCCAAACTAGAGCAGGGAAACAAACGTGAAATGAGTTAAAATGTTGCAACGCATCATGAAAATGTCAACGCATAAAAAGGAAAAGTACTAGATTAAAAGTGGATTTGAGCAAAAGGAGGATGCAAATTTAAAATATGAAGAGTTTTCAATTACCGCTTTTAATCTGCGCAAAACAAAAATCAAACCATTTTTTTATGCAATAGTCAGTGGGGGGAAAACAAGTTCATAAATAATGAACTTTAGATTTCACAAGAGAATTACAGAAAGTTTCAGAATACGGATTAACAGGATATCCAGTGCTACGCTGGCGCAGTAAATTACACGCCACGTGTTCTGGGAAATATTTCAGTGTGAATATTTATTGAAAAATAACTCGTGTGCTCATGAATCGTTGGTCTCAGTTAATGCTGTGCAGACAGGCTTTTCACATGCAAAGGATTGACCACCACACCCTTGTACGGTCTTCTTACCTTGGCCTGTTCAGATTCTGGCAGAAAAACAAAGATTACAATACAGAATCTCATATGAAAACACACACACACACACACACACTTCTTTCCACCACTGTTGTGTTGGTAGGAGGGACAGAACAAAGTGGAGTCACACGGAAATGTAAAAAAGCGGTCACAAAAACAGTGCCATGCATCATCCCTGCCATTGAGAGGAGACTCAGCTGTCCATTTATACACAGCAGCAAAGAAGCGGAAGGAGGGGGACAAAGAGGCAGATTTACTCTCTTGTGCTCTGCTTCCAGGCATATCATGCTTTTACAGAAAATAAGCCTTTACCTTAAACGTCAACACCTGAAAAATGCTGCCTGACCAGGCAGGTTGAATATCACGCTGAATTAAAGAGTATAAATCCTGACTTCCTGCCAAATCTCTACGCTGTTTGGTCAGGTGTTAGTCAACAGCCGTCATGTGATACCGCGTGTGAGACGGGGCAGTGAGGACAGAGCCGACACCTGTGAGTCTGCACCTTTACAGTCCGGAGAGTGAAGGTCCAGCGGTCATGCAGACAGAGAGGACTCGAGGGAGAAAAACACTTACAGAGGCAAAATCTGCAAAACCAACCGCACCGCCTTTGAACGTTTTACTCGTGTCTGTCGTAACAAAAGACTCTTTAGTGTCTGCTGTGGGGCAGATTCCCGGGAACAGCTCTGGGGCACCCGAACTGAGCAAACCTACCAGAAAGGGAAGACGTTTGAAGAAATACATGTCTATATTAGGGCTGTCAAAACATGTCATTGGATTAATCACAGGGTAATTGGGATGATTCATCAAAATTAATCAATATTAATAGAGCTAAATCAACATTCTGAACATTGAGCTTCTTACAGTTTAAAGTTTAAAGATTTAAGTCATTACTGTTCGTCTTCATCGACTGTGACTTGTTGGACAGTCTGTTGTCCTCGACAACAACAGTCTACAGTCCGTTTGACATTGTGTCAGACAGCTGGTCAGTCGTAGACTTACTGACTGGCCTGCACTCACTGACGTTGGTCTCACACGAGCCTGGCGTCTGACCTGAAGTTGACGCTCACATGCTGAGAGTTGAGATGTATTTTAAACTCACGGTGCTTCAGTGAAACAGAATGTTTCCTCCTACGATGTGTTTGTGTACAAATAACTACACGTGTATCAACTGTGAATTAGAGCAACAATAAGATCACTCTGCCCATGTGTTAAAATGCATGAAAAAAAAATTTAATCTGATTAATCTTCAGACTTTTTGACAGCCCTCGACTTTATTCATTTAAACTCCACCATATTTCAACATATTTCACCGATTAAAGAGCAAGTATACTCTTCTCTTGCCTGTATTCTAACAGAAAGCAAAGAGCTTTAAGCTCTGAGAATATAACCACAGGCACTATTAGCTTTAAACTTGGTGTTAACCACAACAGCTCACTGATGCATTGAGGTTTAACAAGCAGAGTGAGGTTTTTTTCTCAGTAAGTACAATTGCAATAGATGGACCCACCCTTTTCAGAACATTTCCTGTTGTAATTATTATGTGACCAGAATTTTTTCACGTCAGTTTCCACCAGTTACATCTGCACATGATGAGACGTCCACTGACTGATGTAGAACAGATCAGGTACAAGCACCAACTTGACAGAACTAAAACAATGTGCAGTTCTCCAAAAAAAAAATAATTAAATGGCAACACCTTTTTCCACCAAAACTATTTGTGCAATGAGTCCACAGCTCAGAGAGTAGGCTTCTCACTTCCCCATCATCTATGAAAAACATCTGTGGAGCCAGCCTGCTGCTTAACAGTCAACACTCATCTTTACCCATCACTGTGTGGTGAAGCAAAGGGGAACGACCAACTTTCTCACGCTGTGGCTTCTGCTAAAAGAATAAGTGCAAGGTAACAGCGGAAGGGCATGTGCTGGGCACGTCCTGCCAGCCGTGTGTGAAAGAGATATGCATCGGTGAAGAAGCGTCAAACATGTGCGTGTGTGGGTTTTGTTTTGTTTTTTTCATGTAGTATAAAAACAAAAATAAATATCCAGCTTAACATTAAAAAAAAAACCATTAAAAAATATGAATATATAAAATATAAAAAAATGTTTCTTCTGTATATTACTGGAACAAAATAACAGCTGGTAGTGTGTGTTTTCTAACCTGTTATTGTGACATATATCAGTCGATCAAAAAATGTATATGTGAAAATGTTGAGGAAAAAAGTGCACAGTAAGTGTTCAGTAAAAAGTGCACAGTAACTGAACATTACATCATAGAGTTGGTGGATTTTAGTCATTATTGTTCACTCTGACAGTTCAACTACTTTCATTATAGTACAATTATGTTTTCATAACTAGCATGAATGACTATGTAGCTTAAATATATATACGTATATTATGTTTTCATAACTAGCATGAATGAAAAAACAATATGCTAAGTTACAACTGTCGAAAATAAAAGCTTTAGTTCTAAGAGTCAATTGTGTGACTATGTAGCTTAAATATATATACGTATATACAGTATTATATACATATATATATAAACACTTAAATATATACAGACGCACACACATACATACGCAGATATTTACACATAAAACATACAAATATACATACATATGCATCATATATATCCAGACCAAATACTTTCATTAACTTTAAATAGAGCAACAGTCAGTTACAGTAAGTAACTAAGGCTGAGCTTCATTTTTGAACATGTCTTAACCATAAGAGTCGATGTAGAGCAACTGGATTGAACCGTTACGTCTGAAGTGATAATTTATGAAGGATAATAATTTCTACTGGTTTCCATCAACAACACTGTCGGGTTACTAAGAAAAAAAAAAATAAACCATTAGAGAGAAGTGAAACAGCAAGCAGGGTCACGTTCCACCACATGCACAAACACATACAGGTACATGATCTCAGGTCTTACCATAGGGAGGTGCAGGTCGGTTAGGAACATTCTTCTTTGATGGGAGTAAAGGGTTGTCTGATTTCTGTTCACACAGCCGAGAAAAAAAAAAATACTATTATTTATTTCATAAATCGATGACTACGCCAAAAAGTGTCTGCCAGTTTCTAAAGCTTCTGGCCTCATACCAATGAATGTGCTTTCACAAATGTCATAAACTGACAGGGAGGAAAAACAGATATAAATCAAGAGGAGCAGTAAATACATGACAAGTCTTTTTCTACAACTCTGTTTGAAGGTGCACAGAGTTCAAACAAACAACAACAGATGCAGGAGGTTACCTTTGTCATCTGACTGAAGTCAGCAAACCCGCTGCCCTTGCTGTTAAAGGAGTTGCTGCGAAAGGGGTCCGTTGACCCAAACACATCTGTGACAGGAGCACATTAAAATAAAGCATTGGGAACATTTCAACACACGCATGGAAAAAGCCAGCAACTAAAAATAAAAATTAAACTCTACCGCTCGCTGCTACTATAAAAGGCACCTGTGTGTTTCAGGAAAGGGAATGTGGCGTGACCGTCTAAGTTTCCGAGACATTTATTAATTTTTTTTTCCCAACCCAAAAAAGCTGGAGAGCAAAGAGCAGTTTTGTTAAACCAGGGTTACGTGTCTGATTAACTAATTAGAGGCGTGACTTTGCACAGAACTGTGCCCGGCTTGTTTTTGAAGCTGCTAAATGAAAGAGAAAAAAAAAAAGAGAGAGAAACGACTAACTGCAGATAAAAAAAACAAAATGTGGTAATAGAATATGTTTGTTGTGAGTTTGCTACACAAGAGAGTGCATTCATGTGAAACACGCAGTGTTTTCTCTTACGCACTGTAACTGGACTCAGGTCTTACAGAGGCCTCAGTGTTCCACTGAAGGTGTGTTACACGGAACAACACCGGCCAGGACCGTCCACTGACCTAAAACAACGTGTGCGATGAATGAAGCAGAGCAGCTGAATAGCAGCAGATATAAAGACAGGACAGAGGCAGGAGTGAAGTGGTTAAAGGAGTGGCAGTGTATTCAAGTAGAGCAGGACCAGCAATCACTGACTTTCTGTTATGCTTGGACCCCGCAGGCCTCCTGTTTTTCCAGGGTGGGGGGTGGGAGTATTTTTAGGTAGCCTGTAGTTAAATGCGTAGACCCCACACTAAAAATAGACCCAAACCCACAGGAAAAAGTGAAGCCAGAGTGAGTAAAAAACTGTTTGCCCCCCTTTTTTTTGGCCTCAAAAACATACTCTAAATCTAACACGTCACCGTAACGACAAAGAATGAGTCTTTGAGACGTTTCCCAACAAGGAGGTTCTGTCACCTTCACATCACTGTAAATAAGGTCACGTTTTGAGAAATAAGCACAGAACTTCTACGCATATAAAGCTCACTGCTGATGATACCGCGTCATACTTTTTTGTTTAACAGTAATACATATAAAGTACCACTAGAAACGACCAGTACATTAAGGACAGAGGAGCTCCATCCAGCCGGGGTTTAAAACGTCGATGCCAGACTCAATTTTTGTTTAACAGTAATACATATAAAGCTCCATCCAGCCTGGATTTAAAACGTCGATGCCAGACTCAATTGACTACTTCACCTTCTAATGTTTGACTTTCCCCCAAATGGAAAACAATTTTTGCCACATCGATAAAATAACTTTGGACAAACATTTACTTTTCAACTAGAAAAAGATTTGCTTGTCTGTTTTTTTTTTTTTGTGACACCAATAAATTACCTGAATTGTTTGGTTTAGAAGTATTTGAGAACGGATCTCCGCTGCCAAAGGCACTTGGCTGTAAAGAATATGACACAGCAGTGAACATTTTTTTTGTTCAAAAAATGTTTGAAGGTCACAATGGCATAGCCACACAACAAGCAGAACAAGAACTGAACTATTCAGACAACAGTAAATAATCAGTGTTTAGTACCTTGGCCGGCAGTGAGGGTTTTCTACCAAAAGGTTCTGAGGATGCTAACAAGTCGGTGTTGTCTGTCTTTTTAAAAAAGTCTTCAGATGAGGTGCCTTTGAATGGATCCTTTTGTTTGAAAGGGTCTCCAAATGGATCTTGAAAATGAACAAGACATAATACTAATCATAAATGCATTTCTTGAAGGCAGTGATAGATTCATCTGGTGGTTCCCAAAGTGGGGTGCAGTAAAAGAAAAAAAGTACAGACCTTTAAAAGTGTCGGACTTAAAGGGATCTTCACTCAAGAAGGGATCTGAAGGAACCTCCTTAGCAGCACTGCTGTTGAACATGGCTATCTTTGACTTGAAAGATTCATCCTGGTGAATACAATCAACAAATACATCAGCATGTCACAGTGAACAACACTGATGTCAGGCTCAGGTAACTTTTCGCTTTTCTTTTAGACTTTCTTTGATTATGATAAAATCTGGTTAAACATGACACCTATCTGAGAACTCAGCAAACACTACCTCAACCTGTGTTACATCCAACAGGATTTCTCATCTTTGCTGCTTTCCTCCTCATTTTTAAATTTAACCCAACAAACAAGTTTAAAAAATAAGAAAACCTGTAGAGGAATTTGGTGCTGTACACTCTGTGGTCACAAAGAAGCATTCACAGAAACATCGTAAATTAAATGACCGAAGACCTGAGAGTTGAACCCAGAACAAAGAAGATGCTCTTGTAATTATTTCCTCACCGCACTCCTGAAACCTCCATTCGTCTTTGCAGCAAACCCCTCACTTAAGTCTGGCAGGTTGCTGAAGTTTCCGTCGCTCATGTCCCTTAAAGCTGAGTTGTACTGCTCAATGGTCTTGGTCACTTCAGTTTGGGTATCTTTGATCATAGACAACTTACTGCGAGCCTAAACACACACACACACACACACAAAAGAACACCCTTTTTACCCATGTTTCATATTTGATTTCTAATTCAAATTTTGTCAAAGACAAAGTTAATTAAAAGAACAAAACAAAAACTGAATCTTAACTGATGCATTAGAAAGAAAAACAAAGTGAAAACATTTTGCAGTCAAATCTGCACTGATTTTGTCATGTTAAAAAAAAGATGAGACCCAATCCGAACTGTTCATTGGCTTGATTGGCAGGACATGTTAACAAAAATCTATTCATTGCCAACATTCATTGTCTATTTATAACATCACAAACCATTTAACATTTAACATTTGCCCCAAACAAAACTTCTGTCTTGTTAGTGAAATTCTAGCCTTTAATCTGCAGAATTAGATTTTTTTTTCCTCCACATTTCATGATACACAACAATGACAAATAAGATAATGTCTAAGCAGCACAACCACATGTGACCTGTCGCCTCTCCGACTGCTCTGACCTGATTGATCTCTTCCTGAGTGGTTTTCAGCGACTTGACGATGCTGTCCAGCTGGACGCGGCCAGAGAGGAGGCTCTGCTCCAGCTGGGCCTCCTCCTCCTGAAGCCGGCTCAGCTCAGCCTTCGTGCGTCTCATTTCGTCCTCTTGGCTCTGGAGGTCAATCTCCTGAGAGCGGATTTGATTCTGCAGAGAGGAAATCTGAAGAAAAGGAGCCAAAAAAGTAGACACAATTAGAATTTTTTTTTTAATTCTAATTTTTAAAAAGTGTTGTGAAAAGTTTGGGGTGCTGACCAGCTGTGATTCTTCCTGACACTTCAGCTTGACATCATTGACCATTCCTTGGAGTTTTGAGCGCTGCTGGTCCATTTCTTCCAGACGTTCCTGGGAGTCCTGCTTTTGAGACTCCAGGTCCTGGAGACTGCTGCTTTCTCTGTCCAAATCAATCTGCATATCCTGAAGGTTTATCAAACACACGGGCACAGGTGACGGCTCTGATGTCCCTGTTTTATGCAGCTACGAACTCTTCCAGATCATCTGAACACTATATACGTATAATGCTACGTATTAATTCTGTCTGCTTAGCCTTACCTGAACATCGCTGTTTTTTTGCTTGATGGCGTCCTCTTTTTCTTTTATCTCCTGCTCCAGGATAAATTTCTCTCTTTAATGAAGCACAAGAACAACCACATATTAAAAGTCCCATTTCATATGGAAGTAACATTTTGAGATATCAGCAAAATAAAAGGCATGCAATTAGACCAACTCCACAAATATGGCATAAATATAAACTAAAAGCAGTCACATAGCAACTGAAAAACACATGGAGCCAATGTCTGTTCTCAAAAAAAGAGGGTCAAAGTTCACAAGACTGACATCAAGTGCTGCTGAAGAAGTGAAACTGATGATTAAGACCTTTGCTGAAGTATTAACTGAGATTATAACAGTGAGAAGTGAGAAGTAACTTCTATACAACCAATGTTTGCAAACACATGTTTGCACTTTTATGCACTGTCACTGTTCTCCATTTTCAGCATACAATAACTGTTTTGGGCGTAGAAATTGTGTTCAATCTGACTGACAAGAAAGGTAAAAGAAAATGCGGGCGTAGAAATTGTGTTCAATCTGACTCACAAGAAAGCTAAAATAAAATGCGGATGGTTTTGCCTTTCTTAGAAGTCCTCTCCTGAGATGTTGAAAATTCATATATAGATAGAATGATAGTTAGAAGGTTAGACAACCTGCGATTTTTCTCATGTCTTTGTTTGCTAACATCTGTGTCTGTTGCTGGTGTACTACTTGCATTATAAAAACCTGAAGAAGCACTGGTTAAATAAGCTATAAGTAACAATTGGGCTTTGATTTTGAGCCTACACATTACCTCACTTATTTTCTCACGGCGGAAATAAAACAAAGCTACTCCATCCCCCTGTTACCCAGGGTTCAGGGGCTCACCTCTCCAGTTGAGCTATTTCCTGACTGAGGTCATCCAGCTCTTTGATGCCCGTCAGCTCTGCAGGTCCTGTGGAGCTGAGGCTGTCCTGAGGTGAGAGACAAGTAAATACACGAAAGACAGGAAAAGAAAAGTTGCATAAGAAGGTGCAAAGGAGGAGCAGACATCATGTGAAACCACAGAGAAGAGTGTGTCAACAGATGAGAGAAAAAACGGTGGACATTAATGTTAAAGTAATATTGAAGAAAACTGGGTCATTAGACAGAGAGCTGGAAAGAAGGGGCAGGGGGCGAGGGAGGAGAGGTATGCAGAAAGAGACGGCGAACAGCTTCCCACTGACATGTCTAACAAAACACAAGGCACAGGAAGGAAACACAAACATCTCGCACAGCCAGAGAGGGGAAACAAACATCCAGACAATATGAGACAGGCAGTGGAAACAAGAGAATACAAAGGAACGCAGCCTAAAAGTGACCAGTGTTCAAAATTAGGCATTGACCTCATGCAAAAAAGATTTTTAAATCAGAGTTCAATTTAAAACAGTGCACTTTACTCTGTACTTCTCTAAATCCTGTTGTTTAATTAATTAAATTTGTATCATCAGCTGGTCAATAATACCCAGAGAGAACCTGTAGAACCACAATAATTAAGTAACACGTCTTGTTTAACAGGACTTAATTAAATATTCTGAATGTAAATGGACAACGGTGGTTGTAATTGATGCTTTGAAACAGCAGGCGGCAGTGTGAGCCCCGAATATAGAGGTTTAAAAAATTTTTTTTTTCAAAACAAGATTCTGTATAATATTAAAACAACACTAAAAATATTCACTTGTGTTAGCAAAACTTGCAGTGAGACAAAAATATAAAATAAAAAACACGTGGCGTTGAGTGTTTCAGACCAGGAGAGTCATTATGACACAACAAAAGCGCCACCTCCTGACACAAAAGTTAACTGCTACTCACACTGCTGTCTGTCAGACAGGATAGGAACAGGCTTAGAAAAAAGTAATGCAAGAGCAAACCCCCGAAATTACAATTTAAAGCAACAATGTGTTACTGTATTTATTAAGGGAATAAGAAATGACACCTATAAAATTAGTTTTAAACTGAAGGTGCCTTAATAATTCCCATTTTTTCCACTTGACTTATTAACGTTTGTTAAAAATACTTTTTAGACAATTACTGTAATATTGGTGTGCTTGCTACACTTTAATTGTTGCTTTAAAATGCATTAAAATAGATTGAGACAGATTCTCATGGTTCAAACCAGAGTGGAAAATAATTTCTTGGTTTGCAAAATAAACTAGAAAATGAAAGATGTGGTGTCTGTACAGGGCTACCAACCCTGTCTGAGGGAGGAATCATGTCTGGACTGATGGTGGAGGGAGGGTCGATGCCATTGATAACCTTCTGCTGTATTAGATACATGGCCAGAGCAAACCGTTCCTCGGTCAGCTTCCCTGTCTGTTTGGTGTCAGCCAGTCCCCTACAGACAAAAGATAAGCAGTGGACACATGGACATTTGTTCAACTGTGTTTTGTCTATCACTCTCTTTGTTGAGCTTTTTTTTTTTAATTCTCATCTTCTGTAGAAGACGTTATGACTTGAACAGTCCACAAGATGGAGCCATTGGACAAACTATCATCCATAAATAAAGCACTTTAACAAACTCCAAAATAACGAGCTAATAAAGCAGTGCAGTAATAATTCTACAACTGTAATTGTCTCAGTCCATGAAGGATGCAGAGAAGGCAAGGTCATAGGGACAAACGTCTCACCATATCTGGGCCAACATTGTCTGTGAGAGGTTGGACTGCATGAAGATCTCTATCACCTCGGTACCATTTACCAGTCCGTCGTTGTCTGTGTCCGTTTGCTTGAAAATGTTGCTGTATCGCTCTCTGTCCGCCACAGGTACAACCCAGTTCACTGCAGGCTGCAATCAAACAAAACATTAAACATTTTCTATTCATCATTGGTTAGAAATTCAAAAACATATGTATACACAGTAAACTTCTGAAAAGTCTTCCCCTTTGATGAAAATGTCAAACAAAACATTAAACATTTTCTATTCGTCATAGGTTAGAAACCAAAAACATATGTATACACAGTTAACTTCTGAAAAGTCTTGCCCTTTGATGAAAATGCCCGGTTTTTCTGACCAGCTAAAAGAAACTTTTTAAGTACATCATGTGACGTATTCATCGTTAAAAAAACATTTAAATGGGTGAATGCTGTTGTTATGTAATCATGACTCAGATGCATCCCTTCCCATTAGGCAAACCTGTTTCTCCAAAACTCACAAGGGGAATAAGTACAACGAAAAGGATTTAATCAATGTGGCTGAACAGGTTCACCTATTAGCAAGTGTCAAGCATTAATATATAGTTGGTTTCTTTCAGTCATGGACTAGAATTCTCGAAAGGAATCAGGATTTGAACCGTTTGATCACAGAGTCCAACATCAAGTACATTTTTCTCTCAGGAATGTGTCCTCAAGAAAACTTAACTCATACACAGAAAGAGTGGGTTAACACCCTTTTCTGCAAGAGTGGGTCAAAGGTCATTCACATTTAGCAGTGGAGGACCCTGCTCCATTATTTTCTTTCACCAAACCAAAGCCTAGATGTTGATTAAATTATTTCTTTTTCTATACATCAGTGAGAAACACTGTACAAAGTATCAGACAAACTTCTTGTGAAAATCAGAACACAATGATGACCTCATACAAGTAGTGATTTATTTTTTAATAAACTGAACATCTTTAGATGTGGTGACATACCTGGGAGCTGGATTTAAAGGAGTGTTTTGGAGACAGGCTCACGCTGCTTATACTGAGGGGGGGTGTGCTGCTCAGACCTGCGGTGGGACGTAAAGCCTCTTGGAGAGGAGCCGGGCTTCCTGAGAGCCCAGAGAGAAAGGGCAGCACAGCCACAGCACCAGGGAGTGCAACCGCAGATTTCTTTCTTTTAGATGGAGGAATAAGAGAAGGAGGCAAGGTGACAGGGACAGGCTCCTTCTCCATGGCTCGATATACCAGATGCATAGCCTGGAGACAGAAATTAAGTTTTATATATATATATATATATATAGTTATGTAACTTGTCTTTTTAGGCAAGGTGTTTCTGTGTATGAGCCAATCGGCTTCCTACCACTGTAAACTCTTCTTTGTCCAAATGTCCATCTTTATCGACATCACTCAGGTCCCAAATCTATGGAAGCAGAGATGTTTTAAAACTGGGAATGTTCTGGAGATTTTTTTTACCAATATATTTTCTACAGGAGCCTCAGTGGTTACATCACCTTTCCTAACACATCCAGAGGTAGCTTGGAGTTTATTAAAACTGGTCTGACTTTGTCCCCCGACAGAACACCTTTAACTGGAGTGAGACTTTCAAAAATGCCCTCGAACTTCCCTTTTTCATCAGGCTGAAAAAGAAAGAACAAACATTAAAGAATAGAATTGAATAGAAGCGAATACCCTTTATTGTCACTGCAAAACATAGTGCAGTGCAACAAAACTAGGTCAGCAGCTCTAGTACACATGCTCAAAGGTAACACAAATGCCAAAAGTTAACAATAGTTTTGAGTGTTGCTTATTTCAAAGACAAATTGATTCAAATAAATGTAAATGTTAGACATCTTCCAGTGTGTAAAATGTAAAATACTCCAGCTTACCCTTATTGCCCAGTGTGAATCAGATGTTGTTGTTGAAGCACCAACTAAAGGACTACTAGTGTCTCTCTGTCAAAAGAAAACACATGGACATGATTATAGCAAACAGAGCAGAATAAATTAAGAAAAATGTGTTTCACGGAAAAAAATAATTATTTTTCAACACTCACAAACTTTGGTGCAGCTACAATTTGGCTTAGATTGTTAAGGCTGACGTCATGTCCACTTTGTGCTAAGGCTACTAGTCTTAAAGAGATGAAGAAACCCTGCAAACAGGAAATGGGCAAGTGAGGTGCAATGTTTAAGGCAAATGTCAGCATTTTCAGTCACATAAGTCACAGTCACATAGTGTTACATAAGTTTAACTTCACCTTTTTATCTAGATATCCCTTTCTTTCAGAGTCAGCTAAGTCCCAAATCTAAGGAGTAAAAAAATGTACAATATCAGTGACAGTGGTAACACTGAAACTCTTCATGAACTTATATGTGTGATTGTGACCCACCTTCCCAAGTTTAGTGTCTGGCAGGCCTGACTTTTTAAGGAACTGAGCTGCATCTACAGCTGAAATTTTACCCGTGTGTCCTGGGTCCAACTGCAAAAATCAGTACAAAAGGAACATGACTATGATTTCTTAATAGATTGACTATGATCAAAAAATACACATGCAATGAACAAAAAGAGTTGCTTTACAACATAGAGAAACCAAACGTTTTAGAAAGGGTTGTTAAACTAAAATAAGTTGTTTTAGTGCTTGTCTGCAGTAATTTGGTTATTTGTTGTGGTCATAAAAAAGCCAGACAAAGTGCTTGTGAGTGATGTGTAAAGTGCTCTTCAACTTCATTTGATCTTTTATCTTCAAAATCTTTTAAATTTCCATAATAATGATAACATAAAACAAAACATTCTTTCAGAAGCAACCACAGTCTGTATCATTGACAACTGCAGCCATAAACATTGTGTGATTCCAACCACAGTCTGTATCATTGACAACTACAGCCATAAACACTGGACTTGTATTGTATTTTTACTAAAGAACCCTGCACTGGAGTGTTCCATGAAACATAGGATGGGGGAAAACATTTGTACAGAGGAATATGAAGTTGACACAACACCTGAGAGCAAATCACAGCTCGACCTTACCTGTCTGTAATAGTTGTCATATGCAGGGTTCCCACTGGACAACTGCAAAGGCACACAGAGGGAAACATAACACCAGCCAAGTGAACCGAGTTTTAAGTACACAAACAATGCTAACGCTAGCTGTCAATTGTGTTTTAGCGACTTTTATCTGGTAAGAGTTCATTAACATTACGACAGTCCTGTGTGCTGACGCCACCGCTGTCACTGCCACAGCAGCTTCCTCCTTCCATTAAACCGTAACTTTGTAAATGTAGCCTACCATGTTAACTCTTAAATACAGCGAAAGCTTTAACTTTACGACACTACAGGCAAACGTTCAATATAGCGCACAAACCAGTGATGTGAGAGACAACAAACTCTGACTCTATGACCGAAAAGCGTTCGATTTAAATATTAACAGGCTTTTCCAAAGATATGGGATGATCCTACCTGAGTGAGTGTCATGAGCGCCGCCATATTTCCTGTTGTGACGGGAGCGCGCAAACGGCCCTGAACCAACAGCCGTGGTTCAGGTGCCGTGAACGAATCCTCGTGCACGCAATACGGGGCGCACACTGCCCCTTAATGGTGGACTGGTGAACAAAGATTTTGTTGAAAATACTTTATTTTATTTTTTATATTTGCCAGAATAGTAATGAAGTGTTCTTTCAAAGTTGAACAGCAGCTTTGGCTGACCTGTAAGGGGCCCTCGACCACCGGGCCCCAACACATTAAGTCTTAGCTTTTTATTAGAAAATGCATATACTAATAACTTGTTTATTATAATTATAAATTCCACCAAAAATACAATAATTTAAATGATTATACAACGAGCATTCACTTATAGCTTTCAGCTCCAAACCTAGGTCATAAGACATGTTTTGGCACGTTAATGTTTTAATTTAATCTTCATTCTTATTCATGTCTATTAATATGTCCATCAATGAAATGCAGATCTGTGTGATTATATTACATGTACCACATAAAAGAAAAATGACAAATGGTTGTTTTATTATATTTTAATAAAAACTTTGGTATCAATAACATTCTGTCCAATAAAAATATGAGTGTAACCTTCAGCCATGTCCTGAGTCACACCAGGGGGATTTCTCCAGACTTTCTAGTTATGTGAAAGGATCCTCACATATAACTGACATTTAATATTTGTTGACATCCAACAAAAGGAAAAATGCAATTCATGAGGATTTAATTATTTTATGAACTCAGACAATGTACAGACTCAGTGCCAAAACAGAACCATTATAAGTTACATTATCTTGTTGATTTGTCTGTATCTGATTGCCCGTGCCATATGGGAATCTTGAATTTCACTTGCAGTCACAAGGGTTTGGAGAAAAAGACTGAATCACCATTAAACATGGAATGTTTGGCCCTCATCCCTGGTCATTTGTGTAGATTTAAGATCATAATGGGGACTTTCAGAGTTGAACCATGGAATTACACCTCGTTGTAGGCACATGACAACAGTGGGTGTTGGCGGGTTCTAAATCTCTTATTGGACTGGTTGGGTGACAAATATTACCACAGCAAAAAATGAAAGGGAACATCCTTTTAACACACACACACCCCCTAACATCACTACATCTTGGCTTTAGTCCGTATTGCAGGGAAAGGATGCACAGCAGCCACAATGCCCCCTGGGAAATACTGGACAGAGTTCCTAAAGGTAGGACAGAAGCTCCTGACCGCACCCTTTAAAGCTCATCTTTATGCTTCGCTTCCTCACTTTCCATTTCTGAAAGTGCCTCCTCCATTTCATCTTTAGTTTCTTCCTCCTCCTCCTCGTCTTCTTCCTCCTCTTCTTCCCCCTCCTCTTCGTCTTCACCTTCAGTGTCTTGTTCTTTGTTCTTCTCCTCCTCTTCTTTTCGTTTCAGGTCATCTTGCTCCTGTTTCATTTTCCTTTCTGGTTCCTGTTTGTCAAGTTAAAAGTCAAGTCAGTTTCTTTTTTATCACACTCAGTGTTTCACTGACAACTGTTTATTGTGACAGTGACATGATATGTAGCCTACAGCCTTTTAAACTTATACCTTTGTCACGCCCCACGTCTCCTTTGCAACATCTTCAGCTTCCTTGACATCGTCTGTGATCAGGAAGTTGTCGAAGATGGTTCCAGATTTCACCTGTGATTAAGAGTAACATTTGAGTGGATTTCACCTGTGATTAAGAGTAACATTAACCAGTTAACCTCTAATAATGGTGCTTTAAATACTTTCTATTTGATTGTCTTTCTCACCTGCCAAAGGTCAAGACCCAAAACACCAATGTTCTCAAATTTGTAAATGTTTGAATCAGCACTATATTCGGGATTGTCAATCTCTGGGTGAATCCACGGCCCCTTGTAGTTGGGGTTGTCCATCTGTTTGGGTTTCCATTCTCCCTGTAAATCAGAAGTCATTACTCGGACTGCAAGGTCTACATACAACACAACAGTTATTCTCTATGGTAAACAGTCAAATTGAATCTACCTTGTACTCTGGGTTGGGGATCATAGGTGGCTCCCACTCTCCATCCATATCTTCATCCCAGTCTTCAGGCTTTTTAGCATCAGGGTCAGGAATGTTTTCAGGTTTGTCCCAATCCTACAGACACAAGCAAAAAAGTAAAATTTTTAACCAACTATCTAACTAACATAACTTCATTCTGACCAAAGTCTGTCTGTGCCAGATAAGAACCGAGGGAATTGTGTACATATGTGTATATACCTCAGGCTTGGTGTCTTCGACATCGTCAATTTTGTCACGGTCGTCCCAATCCTCCGGCTTCTTGGCTTCAGGGTCCTTAATCTTCTTGGGAGGCAAGAAGTCCCAGTCTTCCTCCAGACTGCCAGACTCCACCTTCTCGTTGTCAATCCTCACCTCGTAGGTCTGATCTGGATTGAGGATCAGTGTGTACAGGTGGGTGAGCTCGTCATCCTAAAGGGAAAGCAGAAAAAAAACGCTTGTCAGAATGAGCCATTATTGAAGAGATACTGGTTGTTTGCGGAAGACATTTTGTATTTTATTTCTTTTCATTTCAGTCCTCCTTGCCTTGCATTTAATCTCTTTCTTGATGAGGTGATTCTTTCCCTTGTAATTGAAAATAACATGGACTTTCTTGGTGCTGTAGCCGCAGATGTCAGGTCCTGCATGAAACAAATATTGTCAATTGATCATCTAACCGTTGATAATGTAACCACTTCAACAAGAACTGTCCTCACCACTTACCGAACATGATATGGTATTCAGAATCTCCATGCATGGCAGTCTGATCCAAACTAGCAGGGAACACTTTCACATAACCACCACCGCAGTCAATTTTCTGCTCGTGTTTGACTGTAAACTGAATAACCAACGTCTTGCCCTCGTTGCTGAAGGGTTCAAAACGAGCAGAGGTAGCATAGAAACGAGCATCCTGGCTGGTCTGGAGTCCTACAGGAGCACAAGAACAAAAGGCATTTGTAGCATTAGGAACCAATCCTGACTGATCTCCATTTTACTCAATTTGCTCAGAGTATGAATATGTTTATTTCTTTTATTGATAGTTAAAGCCCTGCATCAGTGGTCCTATGTATTATAGAACAGTGGAGTGAATGCTGACGTGTAGGTCTGTACAATGTGTTCATAACCTAATCAATAGTGACGTTAGTTTAAACTTTAATCTTTGTTGGATTATCTTTTCATCCGTTTCTCCTGAAACAGGAGGTAAAGACTAGCTGTCTAGTCATAAGACTTGTTGTGTGATGTGTACACAACACTTTCAATTGTGAGGATATATTTGATATATTGATCTTCCCTTGATAAATGCAAATTAAAAATCTGAAAAACTGAACTGAGGAGAACTATATATTTCAGCTTTCATATTGTGTAATGAGGTTATTAAGGGCAAATTTACCTTTGTCTTTCTCCACATCTCCATAGAAGTTACCAGCTGTCAACTTCCACTCTCCATAGTCAGACTTGTGTTTGGAGTTTACCCAGCGGCTTCTCCATTCATCTGATGACAGAAAAACAATAGGTTTAGAGACAAACTGAGGGAAAAACCCCAGAGGGGGCTTTTACTTAGATACACAAAGTGACAAAGTGCTGTAAGACATATGACTAATAACCAGAGTAGTTCTTGCTGAGTAGCTTAACCTGCAACTGGGTTTTATTTCTCCAATATTCACATTATTATTATTTTAATATTTGTTTTATTAAATAAAAATCAAAGTACTTAATTAAAAACACAATATCACGAAATATTTCTTTTAAAGAGTAACAGAGAGAATGACAAATTTAAGCTGTTCTTCCTTTAAAAAACACACAAAAAAGGGTCTTAAGGGAGAACTTAAAAGCTGTATTGATGCTGACGCTATGTTTGCTAATCCTGTCACGATGCTAACGCCACACATCTCACAACTGACTTTAATTCAGAATAACGGCGATTAGGAGTATTTACAGTATGCCAATAAAAACACACGATATTTAATATTTCCAGCACATGACATAGTGTTTAAGATAGAACATAGTTACAAAACGGCAGACCAGTGGGTGGCAGAACTGCAGGCTGAGGTTGTAAATGCACAAACTTACCACCATCTGCAAACTCTTCCCGAAAGAAAACCGTTGCGTTGACGCAGCAGACTGTTAGCAACACAGCAGCAACTACACGTACCACCTGCATTCTCCTCATCTCTGTACCTTCTACAGCAGACAACCTGAAGTTTGCTGTCTAAAATGACGGAACCACAGGGGAGACCACAAGGAAGATAAAGGAAGGGATATTTTAGAGTGGCTCCAGCGAACAGATGTCTTTCTGTCATTGGTCAACAGAGCCAAGCGTCGGGACCAATCAGAGTTAACCACGAAACACTCGTTTGCACTGGGCTCTGATCTGAGATCTGTTTTTATAATCATGCCTTTTATCTTTGTCATTACAGCAACTGTCCGATGGATGGCACCAAATATCAAATGAGAAAATTAATGCTTTAAAAATGGTCTTCTTAACTCTAGTTTTTTCTTTTTCTGTTTTTTTTACTGTGATGACAACCTAGTGGCCAATAATGTAAAACAAACATGGCAATGTAGTCATAAATCACAATAAATAAAACAATTTACTAAATAATTTATATTTCTTGTTGTACTTTTGTTTATATTTTCAACATTTATGCCGTTTTTTTTGCCTTTGCTCATTTTTGTTATTTTGTTGATAACTTTAAGTAATATTTAACATGTTCTAACTTTTTTGTAAATTTCTTTACATTTTTTATAGGTATATATTTATAGGTAACATTTAGAAAAAATTGAAAACATTGTTTTCGTATTAGTACTAGTGATCTATAACTGTTTTCTTTATTTACTTTAAGCTAATTTTGGTCTAATTTGTTTTGCTGTGAACAGGCTGCACCTCCTCTTGGCACAAAAATACTTTTACATAATCGTCTCAGGGCCCTCCACTATTAGAAAATTACTAAACAATTAATAGAGTTCTGGTCAACGTGTGACTTTCCTCTAATCGGACAAAGACAAGGAGCTGGCGCCAGGCATCACCCACCACCCCCTTTAACACACACACACATACACAAACACACACAGTCTACAATTATGTCAAGGGAGGAAAATCTCCTTTGAACGGTGTTCTTAATCAAACCTCATTATTTACGCTCTTTTCCTTTATTATTTCCACCGTGGACCAAGTCCCATTCACCGGCCTGTTACGTGGCGCTTGGGCCCCAGAGGAGGCCATGCTAGGTCAAGCAAATAACATCGCACTGTGTCTAATTAATGTCTGTTTCTCAGTATGTTTCCAACAACTTCTAAACATTGCTAAAAAGTATTTTGACAAAGGTTTCTTGACTAAATATAGCCTTGTCAAAAAAATAAAAATTAAACTAGTCTCTGTCAGATTCAAATTCACTTCTGTTTAACTAACTTGAACATTAGGTTGTAGGATGAAAACACTAAAAGCACAACAATAATACCCTTTTCAGTTCTATGTTGTTTCCCATTTTGAAAACTAAGCTTCCAAGACATTGTGGAAGTGTGATTTCAGAACGACCTAACCACAGGAGCTACCGAAGGGCAACACAAACTCAAGCCATTGTGGCCTGTGCCTAGCAGGCGGGGCCTTTTGACACCAGTGGCTGGGCCTGATGAGGTGAAGCTTCATCTGCCTAACGGCCTGGCAAAGATCCACAGGCCTGGATGAACACAACAGGTGTCCATCAAGCCAGCTTTTGAGCTTACATGGTCCATTGTATGCCAGCACTCATTAATAGCACTAAGTCATTTTGGCTGATCTCTAATGTGTGTGTGTGTGTGTAAAGAAAAAAAAACAGGATCCATCACAGAGTTTCTACTGTCGTTCTACTGTGACTTTATTTAATTTATGCACTGTTTTTGAATGTTTTTTTTTTGAAGAAAATACAATAAAAAACTGTATTGATAAAAATGAACTTCCACACAATTCTATACATATTTAGTAAAAAGACAGTTCTTTTTTTTTTTTTTTACTAAAAACAAATATATGTTTTCTTTGGCCTTTTGTTCGACTGCTGTTAACAGTGAGTATAAACAACAAAAGCAACATAACCTGTATAAGAAAAAATAGGTAAATTGCGATTAGTAAAAAGTTGTGACACAGAAAAACAATGTTGTGTAAAAGAATACTATCAGACAAGAAATAAAACAGAAAATATTGTCAAGGTATCATAATGTGTTTTACACTGATTTCAGTTTCAGTAAATGAAATATCTTGCAATGTTTTCAAATGTTTGTGAAATGGAAATCAGGAAATAATGAAAAAACCCACAAAATCCTAACACCAATGAAATAAAAAAAAACAAAGTTTAAATGCAAACAAATCCCATACACACACGTGTCAACTCCTGTCTCACACTATTACAGTAGCTGCATCCTCCAGTTCCACCCAACGACCCCCCGACAACATTATCTTTAAAGAAAAAAAAAACATTGAAATATAAAACTTCATTCATCTTTAATCAGCATTACTGCAATACAGTGTTGAAACTGCGAGTGATTAATGAACAGATTTGGTAGGGGTTAATCAGGTTTTGAAAAGGGTTTTTTTGGGGGGTATTTGAGGGCATTCTGTCCATGGCTGAAAAGCCGAGGTTAATCGCTTTAAAAGCAGTAATTAGGTGTTAAGAGGTATGCTTGTCTGTTTGAATTAGTCTTCAAACAAGATTATGTTTCTTGACTTCCGATGATGTACACCCTCCCCCTTTAGCTTCTCTAAAAATTGATTTTTATTTTAGTGAGGAGAAAAAAAAGCTTCAGCTTCAGTGGCTTTAATTTTGAAAGAGTAAAAGTTTGCTGACTTCCCATTTGTAAATCGAAACACGAATGAAATGCAGAGAGTGGTCTGATGTTTCACACAGATTTTTAAATCATTTAGGTCCTTGTATTCTTTCAAATTCAATGTTTGAGAACCAGTGTGTAAACATTCAGAGATGAAAATCCATGTGTATTGATTCACCGCTGTTACATGTGCTGCCAGGTTTTATCCATGGACTGAATGTGCTCTTTGGCCTTCATCCTGAGTGCAGCGATGCTGGAACTCCTGTCATCCTCCATCGGGTATTTATCACTGTAACTGGCAGTGCACTGGTAAGCAGGTGGGCCCATGGGCTGCATACCCTGGACCATGCCAGGTGGGGTGTTGAGGAAGCCGTGGCTTGGATAGGCAGGCTGCAGGCTCTGGGGTGAACCCATGAAGCCTGGAATTGTATGCATTGGTGGAGCAGTTGAAATAGGCGAAGTCAACCAAGGGTCAAGGGGCATCGGGTTAGCCACTGGACCAGCACTGGGCGGCATTGGGGGACGACTGAAGGATAGAATGGGAGAGTCATGGAGCTTCATGGTGCTAGTGTCTATCTTTTCTTGACGTCGCCACTTGGCTCTTCGGTTCTGGAACCAAACCTGAAGAAAAAAATTAGACGTGCAGTTATGTATCAATGATAAGACAAACAGCAAATAATTAAGATGATAACGAGGTCGTCAGGAATTTACCAGAGCACACGACTATCAGATCAGAATCTTAAACATCACAAAGAGTTTACCTGCACTCGAACCTCGGGCAAATTGACCTTCATGGCCAACTCCTCTCGACTGTAGACGTCAGGGTAGTGGGACTTCTCGAAGGCCCGCTCCAGCTCGTGAAGCTGGTAGGTGGTGAAAGTGGTGCGGTTTCTCCGGTGTTTCTTTTTGGTGTGCAGCTCCTCTTTCATGTCGTCTGGAGACTGGTCGTTCAGGTCCATTTCCTTCTGCAGGTCGTTCATTTTCTCATCACACTTGTCACCAGAGAAAAGCTCGGCATCTTCTGTGGAGCACAGGATACAAGTGATAGGTAAAAAAAAGAGATTATTGATATATATATATAATTATATATAGAGACAGGGGAATAGATAGATAAGTAATTTACATTTACATGTTTGTTATGTAATACATGTAGTATAAAATATTAGAATTAATGTGAGATCAATTATATAGCACCAAAGTATATTCTTATATATATAAGACTTAACAGCTAATTGTTTTTAACTGCAGGGTTAGGTGAGTACAAATGACATTCTCTTTCACTGAATTCTTTCCTTACAATAATCCCACAGTAACAGATGCCACTCGTTAAAGCTGCGGCTGCACGTCTCCTCTAATCTAACAAAGGATTTAAGGTGGCTTCTGCACAGGCTGAGTAAACACTACCTCACCTCCTCATACTGAAATGCTCACTTCACACTGTACCTGATGGTTGTAGTATTTGACCAATTAGACTCACGACTCACAAACACAACACTACATTTCTATACATATACATTGTTGGTTGTACTCTAACGATAGGTATGACATTCCCTTAGTGCCAACTTTAGATCCAGATGTGATACAAGTTTTACATAATGTAGGAAATTGTTTTCAATCATATTCCTACACATACCTTCTTTATGCAATCAATGTATTAAAACCAGTTTTAATACATTTGCAGTTTTGATTTCGATATATAATTTCATGCTCTGTTTGTCAACGTTAATCAAATGTGGCTTCCTCCCGTCGCCTGTAGGGGGCAATAAGCACTTGAAACCTCTGTGTCATGATTTAACTGCGTTTTACAACAAATTTACCCACTTAGAACTACTAGGCCGCACTGACACTGTTCACCTCTAACTGAAGCACACAGAATCACAAAACTTTATTTTAAACATCAACCAAACATCTTTACTTTACACCAACAAATATATTCAAACTGATTTTTAAAAATATTAGATTATAGATTGTGTATAAGCCAGTGCTGACCAAGGCTAGGGTAGACTAAACTATCTATGTTTACACACTGAGCCAAACTTCTTCGCTGGACATTTCTGTCATAAAAACCTGTGAGTTGCATTACTGCCACCTATAGGTAATGTTTTGCAATAGGAAATATTCCAATACAGGCACGTTCCCTTCACTTGCAAAATAAAAGATATGAGAGAAATGATTTAATACTTAATACGATACAGGCACGTTCCCTTCACTTGCAAACTAAAAGATATGAGAGAAATGATTTTTGTAACACTTAATACAGAGATTATTTTTAATTTACTAACTTACTGAATCATTTTATAAAATAATCCTGAATAAAACAGCTTTAACCTTAACCTTAAAAGAACCCATGGAATTAAAATAAAAACCCAATTTTCAAACTATTATATAATTTTTTGTGTGTTTGACAGCTTCCCAAAAAGACTCACCGTGGTAGGAAGAATGCTGGGAGCTGTCACCCAGGTCTGACAGGTGTCCATATGGGTGCAGCTGGATTTGCTTTTCAGGACGCTGCAGATTTTCTCCTCCAACTTTTTGGTTGTCAACAACTCCTACTGAACTCAGTAAGGCGTCCTGGTCTTTAGTAAATCCCAGTATGACATCAATGCTGTGCACCCGGCCTCCGCTGCTGGACCCGGCACCTTTAGCGATATCGTAGCTGTCCAGGCAACTATCGTCCACTATTCCCAATGAATCCATTGATAAATGCATCCGAACCTTTGTCAATATTTTTTTTCTTTTTTCAGTGAAAAATAGAACTGATGTCAAGTGACAGACGGCCAACACTTCTGGTTCCTTAGAAACTGCTTCACACGGAACAGAGCAGGTGAGAATGAACCATGAGGGGAAATCCTTCGAAGATTTTCCTCTGTACGATTTAATGTACGTTTTCCATCAGAGACATACACACTGGCTCTGAAAGAAAAAAAACAGTATTTCTCACTGGAACTTCAGTGAAATCGAACTAAGTTTTTTTTAAATGATTGAGCACATACTTTGGTCTGGTCACTTTTTTGAGAAAACTAAATTTTCAGTTCAGCAATGCATGTAATGTGTAACAGTTTTGCAATAACTGATTTTAACCTTATTGAGGAATTATGACATTGCCAAAAAATAGAAAAAACAACCCACAGTAATTAATTAGAATATTAGCCATAAAATGAAAATCTTTTATTCTATTTCTAAAAATATTGTTTAAATAATTGATGAATAATTATCAAATAAACAGCCTGTAAATTCCCAGTATTTAATATTAATGTTCATCTATAACAAGGTGGTATGTTATAGATAAATATAAACTTTTTTTAATATATTTTAAATACAACCAAGTATATTCAACAAAAATCTGGATGAAGATAAAACATTTCCATTCTCATTGATCAGGTATAAAACCTACTTAAAGTGTTTAGAGAATTCTTACCATCGTTGAGGTCCCGATCGTAGACAATAATGTGCACATGTTGTCTCTATAAGAAGACTAACAGCAACATCATCCACTGCCGGTACTTCTAACTCTAACGCTTTAAATCCCTGAAATCCCCTGCACACAAGTGGAGACGGGCCCTGCAGTCCAGCTCCTGCACAGCAACCTGCAGCGTCGTCTGCTCTCCGCTGGAGAAGCTGTCCTCAGACACACAGACAGGACAGCAGAGCGTCAGGAGCACTGGTCGTAGAAGCAAAGAGTTTAAGAGGTTTATTAATTGGAATCCTTCCCCTTTAAGAATGACTGACAGTTGTTTTCTGCCAAAGTAATTGCTCCAAATGTGTCCTGCATTCACACCACAGAGGGAGGTCATTGCTAATGAATCCCAGACAAAACTTTCTTTCACAAAATCTATTGTCTGACAGATAATGGCTTGCACTGAGAGTTTTTGCTAATCCTTTCATTATAGACAAAGTATGGTGGTGGGGGGGGGACACAGAGATGGGCCGGGGGACACATTGTAATGATCGGTGTTCATGAAGTAGTTCAATTTGACTCAGGACCTCATTCTG